TAGATAAGTGTCTGAAAAAACTGCAGTTGACCTACTTCCACTGCAGGAATGCCATGGGAAGAAAAGCATAAGTGTAGGTGTCCAACTTCCAGGGAAGCCATTATAAATATAATTAGTCACACCTTCTCTGTTCCTGCACATGTGTGCCTAATTTCAGACAACATGTCTTCACAGTTGAACTTACATCAAGTGAAGTAATGTCTGCTTGTTGGCTCAGATGGATGAAGGTTGCAATATACAAATCGCATTTCACAAGGTTCCTCGTCTGGCATTGTGCTGTGTGTGTTAAACAACAATGGAGAAAATAAGATTTTTCTCTTTTCAGTGTTTTCTTGGGTCATATTTTAGTGTTTTGTCCAGAGTAACAGAAAGACAAGAGATATGCATTTTAAATGTTCATAATTCTTATGTGTTGGGTGATACTGCATGTAGTGTCGCTGCCAGAAAATTCTTTTTCAGTTGGTAAACCTGAAGGCTCTTATGCTACATGAATAACAATATGTCACTGAAGTGATGATGTGTTGTTTGATTAATGACTCAGGGGCAAGAAAAGGTGGTATTTGCAATATAAAAACATTTTATGTTTTTGAATGTACTCTTTAAAAAAATTCACAAATAAATAAAACGTTTAAAGACCACTTTTAGATGGCACAAAACATTTAAATTCATATTAGGCGATATGTTGTAATAAACAAGTTCTAGTAGTGTCCATGCAGTGATGTAGAATTCATGCGATGGAGGAAATATCAGCGCATGCGTCACGTTAAAGGCTCATTTTTAACTCTGTATACTTCCTTGAATTTAATCAAGACAGTTCAAAGTGTTTGCTCAGACTTGTCATCAAGATTTCCATCAGGAACTGTGTCTTTCAGGAAATGTCAGCAGCTGTTGTGTTTGTGCTTTGTCCCCATAAAGGTATGTATTTTGATGCTGAAGCATACCACAGATAACAATCTTCTATTGCTCCACTTTTGCATTTTATCAGCCCAGAAACTGTTTTTTAGGCTGTCATTTGTGAGACTCAGACTGTGGCTGCTGGATATTTGTATTGTCTTGATTGGATGATGTCAGATTTCTAAAATCCAAGAAAAACAAAGCATGAATTTTGTTATTTTACTTAACGCCCTCTGAGATCAACCTGCGACAGTATCTGTTGTGGCTCTGGCCAACACCCTCCAATGTGCTCGTACTACCATACGGCAGAGTTTTATAGACGACATCATTACAACAGGGCAGAAAAATGTAGCAAACAATAAGGTGAGTGCGATCCAAAAATATCATAGCTGTCTTCAGTATCTGGCACAGTCGAGCTTGCGCTAATTTGGCTATGGCTATGTTTTCCAGCCCTGCAAAAACAACTGGAATAATTTTCTTTACAAATGTCTCATCTTTGTTTGCTATCTAATGCTAGACACGCACCACAGAACAACAATGGCTTTGCAGTGCAGATCAACAGAAGATATTATTATAAGATGCTACAACTAATGCGGATAAAAGGGAGAACATTCTTTGTTGTTTTGCACCGAGCCATAACAAGCCATATCACATTACAGAAATTCCCTGTGTGTATATTTACATTCAAACCTTTTACCGGATTAAATAGAGCATAGGATTAAGATCAGCTTAATGAGGACGTCGTGCGTCAAAGGTCAAGTGTTTTCTTAGTGAGGGAATGAAGAGGCTACTTCACGTCTATGGCTTGGTCATCGCCTGATCTAGCTCCACCCCTGCACCACCTGTATGACTAAAAGCCTTAAAAAAGCTGCAGAAAGATATGTGGGATTGGCTGCAACGTGAAACCATGCTGTCATGTTACTAGAATACATTTGAGTCAGTGTTTCTATCCCAAACTTAATGCAGGTTTAATCTGTGCAAGGCAGGGCCCTGTGCTGCTCCTCCCTTTTAATGTATAGAAAAGCGTCTTTGACTCATAGTGCACATATACAGGCACAGATCTGCAGTTTCACTGTCTTGCATTACACGAAGAAGCGTTCTATAACTGCCAGGATCACTGTCACTTTTTTGGTGTCATTATTTTTATCCTATTGTACAGCTTCTTATGTACTCAGTAAAAGATATTGTCTACTGTCCTTTGATGGGTGCAGTTCTGTTTCCTTATACCTTGTCCAGGTCTAGCATTGGATCACCATCAACAGAAATTGATGCTCTTGCAACATGAAAATTGCGCAACTGGCTGAAAGTCCAACTTTTAAAATGATGGAGGAAAAAACATTAGCTTTGCATGTCATTTCCTTGAGTAAATCACCTCTACCTGTAGGCACTGTTTCAAAGAGGATCAGAGGTTTGCACTCGTGTTGAAAAAAGGTTTCTTTACACATTTACCTCGACAAGAGAGCTGCAGTGATTAACTGATCAACGGAGTACTTGTCAAGTAATTAAAAAAACAGCTATTTTGATAATCAATTAACTGGTTTAAGTCATTTTTGAATTAAAAAAATCTAAACTCAAGACAATTTAATTCAATTTTATTTACATAACCCCAATTCACAACATATAACATCTTATAGCACTTCACATAGTAAGGAACTGAGAACAGAGAACCCAACAATACAAAGTTTTCTTTGGCTCCCTTACGAGCAAGTCGTTGGCGACGGAGGGATGAAACAAACAAACAAACAAAAAAAAAAACCTCAAAAACCGACAGAACCAGGCTCAGGGAAGGCAGCCATCTGCCTCGACCGGTTGGGGTGATTGCAGCTGATTAAATGTGAATAGTTTCTGTTTTTTTCCTCCTCTATGACAGTAAACAGCACATCCTGGACTGAGGTCAAAACAAGACATTTGAAGACACTATCTCAGGCTTTGGGAAACACACTGATCAATATTTTGTACAATGTTTTGACATTTTATAGACCAAACAACTGATCAATTTCTCCAGGAAACAGTCGACAGATGAATCATCATCGATTAAAATAATTATTAGCTGCAATCCTGAGTGCATTCCTCATCACTGCAAGATCATTTATTAGAATTCGCAAAAGCAGCTAAAGAGGGCTGAACGTAACTTTGATCTATTTGTTTTTCTTACAGAATGCATGTAAGATTTCTATAGACAGACTAAACAACTTGAGGTGTCTTAGTCAGGTGTCAGGACAACACATGGTGCCAGAACAGCTTCAGGGCTCCTTTTCATTGATTCTCTAAGGCTCTGCATGTCTCCTGGAGGGATGAAGCCCACTCTTCCAAAACATATTTGTTCATTTCATGTTTTGAAGATGGTGATGTCTACTACCTTGGTCTAAAATCTTCCACTGGGGTTCAACTGGGTTGAGGTCTGTTGACTGTAATAGCCATAACATGCGATTCACATCAATTTCATGCACATCAAACCGTTCAGTGACCCCTCTTGCCCTACAGATGGGGGCATTGTCATCCCACCAGGATAGATATGATTCATCACAGGATAAAGGTGATCACTCAGAACAATTTCACACTCATTTGCAGGGAGGCTTTCCTCTGAGGAGACAAGTGGACACAAACCATGCCGGCAAAATGCCTCCCACAGGCTAGCAGAACCTCCAAACCCCCTCACTGTAGGGGTCAGTGGTTCAGGTTTAATTTGTCTCAAGTCTGTGCATTTGTGCAGAAAGCTCAGTGCTGTGTTTTGATAAGGACAATGCCACACCCAGAGGATTCCCGTGACTTGAACTTTGAGTAACACACAAAGAACGAGTGGCTTCGGTGTAGACAGATGTCTTAATGGTATAAAGAAAACATGCCACTGCATCCAAGAATTGAAAAGACAAAGCACAGCGTCACTCAACAACAACAGTTATAGTTCCAGTCTTATGGCATTCATTTGGCATATTTGTTGACGGTAAAAGCAACACCCTTGTATTACGTTCATATTCTCCATCCACCCAGACTATTTTTAAGTAATTAGTAAAACAAATAATTTGATATTTTGGACTACTTTTTGTAGCATTGCATCTGTGAAAAAAACCTTAATCATATTCTGAATGTTACATGCTGGAGATATCACTACTTTGAACTGTGGTTTTTGTGCATATTCCCAGTAATACTACTAACTAAACAGCTAAATGAGGGTGTGTCTCCTAAAAGGAAATCAAACATTAGACTACTTTTATGATGGACTGAGATTCAAATTTGGACTATTTAACCAAATCTGGCAACACTGAATACAAAACACTGCGTAAAATCAGAAATCTTTCAGAAATCCTTCTGTTGTTCAGTTTTGTATGACGGATCGCTCTGCAGGATACAATCAAAGCAACAAATGCAACAAGGGCCCGACAGTTTTCAACCTTGCAATGTGCCCCACACGTGCTCAAATGTAGTTAGACAGCAATTAAAGTCTCACATTACCTGTTTCCATACTGATAATTAACATACTGAACTCGCTGTCATCAAATACCATTTGTAAATGTATACTGCTTTTAGAACACATCAGATGCTGACACGCAAACTTAAATGCTCATTAAAAGTAACTTTCAGGAAGTATAACTGTATTTAATTATAAGCATGCTCTTAGTAATAAGTAAATGTACAGTGACTGACAGAACACATCATTTATTTATTTTAATTCAACTGTAAATGGGTGACTTGAAAGCAATAACAAATGGACCCAAAAGCACTCTCATCACTAGTGTGTAATATGTCCCATCGTATTTAGCCTGTATATTCAATTTCACAATACACTCAGTTTAATTCTACATTAAACACCAACAGTCACCATAAAGATCCTCTGCTGTACTTATGAATGAGCTCAGTGAGAGGAGCAGCAATTAATGTGTCTTAAAGACTTTAATCCGACTCAAATAAAAAGTATATGAATAATAAAAGTGTGTAAACATTACTCGACTATGAAAGGCTTTAATTTTCTCTTGTTTCCTCATTATTCTGCCAATATGGGAGGCGTATTCCAGTACACCGTTTTTGGCAACATGCTCAAGAGCAAGTTGAACTGGTCTGGCGATAGAAATCTCTAAAGACGTTGGAGTAAACACCCCCTCAGTCAGTTTCCCTCAGTATCACACAGGCACCAGCGACAAGTGCATGACTGACAAGACGCAACAATAATAAGCAGTGGCAGTGATTCTAATCTGTTTTTAAATTAACTGGATGGATTACCCAACCTGTGCACTGTAATAACTTCTCTCTCTGTGATCAACCGGACAATGAGATAATCGAAACAATACTTACTCTCTCAATGGATACACAGGTGAGGAACAATATTTCAAGAAGAATTCTTCATTCAGAGTCATTGTATAGTTGTAAGTAAATTCAGGAGTTGGATGTTTGTTTAAGTGGTGCCTTTTGCTACCAGTTTTCAATGTCTGGTCATTTTTGTTGTTGAGTAAATGTGCTGTTGTCACTGTGGGTAGTATCTGTTTTCAAACTCATCTTCTGGAATTATGGTAAAAATAAAGAAAAAAATAAACTTACTTTATTATAATTTATTTTGAAATTTAAAAAATCTATATTTATGTGCATCCTTTCGATATTGACTTGTGCGCTAAATTTGAAAACAGTGTAAACTAGGTGATGAGTGCGTTGATGCTACCCCCTGAGTCTTATATAAATGGTATGTTATCTGAGGGGAAAAGGTTAACTCAACTAAGACAAATGAGATCAAACTTTGATTAATGGTCAAACATCCGGATGTGTTTGACAACCATCAATCAAGATGATGTGACCTAGTAGCAGTGAGCCATTGTCAGTCAGGAATCTCAGACTTAGCTGTACGTCTGGCCGAGTAGTGCCGCACATCACATTTTTAATTTTACATCTGCCAGAGAAAATAAAACAGTAACATGTTCATTTAATTATGAAACATTAGTCGTGATGATGAGCTGAAAACTGTTTTCTGTGAATTGCAGGTACAGATGGAAAAGACACGCGGAGAGTTTCAGGAGGAGAAGACCAAAGAGCCGATGGAGGAGATCACGGAGGAGCAGTTCCTCAAAGATCTCTACCTCTTTATGAAGAAGAGAGATACACCGATAGAGAGGATCCCACATCTGGGATTCAAACAAAGTAATTATACTCTTTTTATACAAATAGAACTCATTTAAGCACAAGAAATGCAGTATATTAGTGTCAGCAGTCAACAGTCTTAATGCACTTATTTTGTACATGAAAAAGATTTGATTTTGTATAATTCTAGTATTATGAATTTACAAATATTATTTATCTGTCTGCGGCACACATTACTGAAACAATGGAGCTGTATTGGTTTCAGCAATGTGTGTCTCTACAACATGTCAGCGAGTTGGAACAGCTCCGAAGAAACATGCGCAAAACAAAGCTTTGGATTTAGCATCTCTTTCCAAATGTGTACAATCTAACAGATACAAAATCATTTGTCCAATAACTGATTAATTAACTGACAGATTTAATTTGTGACTATTTAATAATCAGTGTATCATTTAGGACAATTTCCAAAGACATTTCAGAAAACAAAACCTGATGAAGAAAGTAAAAAAGAAAGCAGATGAATCTATAATGATTATTCTAATACCTAAATTCTATTGATAAAGTGTATTTGATTATATGTGTGTTGCTTGTTTTTCAGTTGATTTGTTTGTGATGTTCAAGACTGTCAGTGACTTTGGTGGCTACCATCAGGTAATTAAATTATTTTCCCAATTTACCACGCATATTATCATCATCATCATCATCATTATCATCATTATTATTATGATTATGATTATTATTAATAATATTATTATTGTTATTATTATTATTATTATTGGGGTTTGAGTAATAATAGTATTCTTAATATGATTCGAGTTATTTTTAATTTTGAAAACAATAAAACGCATTTTTTTTATTGGGCTGTTGTTGCGACTTATATTCTTGTACACTGCTAAGGAAGAAGACAAAGTGAAAAGCTGTAGACTGACTTCTTATGTTGATAATGATCAGTATTAATAACTCAAAGGCTATTCTTGCACATTTAGAATTAAATAAAATATTATCTGGTATGTGGCATTGGTTTATATATATTCATGTCCTTTTACAAACAAAGATTGAATAAAATACCTTGCATTGCTCCAGGTGACTGCTCAACAGCTCTGGAAACAAGTCTACAACACACTTGGAGGAAACCCTCGAAGTACAAGCGCTGCCACCTGCACCCGCAGACACTATGAGAAGTGAGTTCAGTTGTGCGTAAATATTTCTCTGTCTGTGAGTCAAGTCAGTGGTATGTTTTTCCTCGGGTTCTAATGGGTTAATTTGTTGTTTGCGTAGACTTCTGTTGCCGTATGAATGCCATGTGAAAGGCATCTTAATGAGCGCCCTGCTGCCTCAGCAGCCCAAGCCCTACCACCACTACACCAGCTACAGCAAGGACGACGATGGCGGCCCAAGACCCGCCAAACGCAAACTGCTATCACTACCGCTGCAGCAGGTTGGTATTATTTTACATCTAAACAAGTTTAGAAACTGGTTTCAGTAAAAGCTTGTTTGAGTGAAATCATCACCCAGCCCGGATAAGGAAAGGATTGACAAAATGATAGTTCTTTCTGTGGGTGGTGGTGCATAGGCGTTCTTAGTCGGTGGAGCAATTTGTCTGATTGTTTCTGATAATGAACAAGAAATAGAGGAAAAGAAAATTATTTCATAAGCCATTCACAGGTTCATTGTGTACTGAGACTATGAAACAAACATATGCTACTGGCAGGATCAGGCAGGCAGCCCACCAGTCAGCAATACCGATCCCATGATATGTACAGATTACAATTATAGACATGAGTAAACTGTTCCCTACTGAGCATTAACATGAGAGATTTTTTTGGAAACAATTTGATCTGATTCGGTTAGTTGCACACTTTTTTCTTTGAAGTTCAGTTAATAAAACAATACACTGAATTCAGAGCATGCCGTTTTGAGGACTGGACTTTCTTGTGAGGAGTTAGAGAGAACGTTACTTCTTTCAGTGTCTATACTAAAAGATGTAGAGAAGAATCAACGCCTCCTAACTTTAAGCCTCTGGACCCAAAGCAATATCTGGACGTTTTTAGTTTTTGTCACTTTTTAACTCACTTTTTAATACAACTATGGCAGAAGTAGAAAGAACTCAAAAAAATGTCCTTTGTGCAGAAATAAACAGTTATAATACCATAAATCATTAAAAAAGGAAAATGAAAGTTGAATACTTTTGATAGTTTATTTTACAAAAATTAAAAGACACTTGGAATCAACATTGTTTTTCATAATACTGGATACTGGAACTAAACAATGGGGAGTCCACATGCTATAGAAATTTCAATATGTAAGTTTTTAGTTTGTTTGCACACTTGCTTCCCATCTGCTCTGTGTCAACACAGCCTGCAGTTTATCTGGAAAATCCCACAATTTTTGTCATTTGACTATTGCAACTGGTTACCATTGTGCACAAACAATTCTTTGTATTTATTTATTTTTTTTTTTTACAGCATCGAGTTAGAGAAAACATTGTATTTTCAAGAATTTTATGCGAAACATGCAGAATAAAATGACTGTTTTTACAGTTTCTGGCTCAGATAAATGGTGCAGTTTTGACGAGTTTATAAAGACACTGTGCCTTTGAAACCAGTCAGTGGGTTTTGGGATTCGCAGTATTGGTCAAGACAGCACATAAGAGTTATATCAAGAGCACTATTCCTTCAACCCCTGATGAACCACCTGTTTCCTTCACAGAGCCCTCATAACCTCCAGTTGGACCCACGTGGAAGTTTCTTCTCTCTGCCGCTCCAGTACACTCACTACTATCACCCAAGCCACCCAGTTCTGCCCCCATATCTCCCTGTGGCCTCCACAGTGTTGCCTCCAGAGCGCTCCGCTGCCCTCAATCCCCAGTTCCCCCTCCCGCCACCCCACCTGAACCTAACAGACAGGGTGAAGGAGCCACTGGAGCACTTGCGCTACTTGGCAGAGCAGTACAAAACTTCATCAGGGTTGGCTGAGCCCCTAAACCTCAGCGTTAAAGCTTCAACCAGGGAGACTAACAGCAACCCCATCTCCTCATTCGCCCCACCTTCATCCAGCAAGAGCCCAAAGTTTCTGAACAAACCCTCCACACTCTACAGCGTTAATCATGCAGGGGCGCTGAGAAGTGAAGAATGTGAGGCACAAGATGATGAGTCCAGTGAAGCAGTTACAAGCTATTCATATCCTGGGAAAGCAAGGGAGGAGACGCATGTCAAAGACATGACAGCGTCAAGCAGCCCCATGCATGCCTCTGCTCTGACATTGGGAACAGACAAAGAGGCCACTGAACTGGCACAAAAACCCAGCTCTCCAGAAATAGACTTTACCATCAAGTCCAAAGACGAGGCACAGGCAATTCCAGACGTACAGGCGCACAATCTTGGTCATATCCTGCCCAGCCTCCCTCGAGACAAAGATGGCAAAATGGAGATTGAGATACCTCTGTCTGTGTTTCATAAGTGGCTCAAGTTGTGCGGGACCTCGGCCTTGACACATGAAGCTCAAGAGCCTCCACTTCGTACTCAGGAGGAACCTGCTGGACAAAGGAATTGTTCTGACACAGACGTCATCCCCACCAACTTGATGCGACACACGAGTCCTCACCATGAGTGTACAGCTGAAGATCTCAGGCTGAGGAATGTGCCGAGCCCTATACCAACCACCCAGACAACCAGTAACTACCACTACACAGGCCAGAATGGTTTAACCTGCAGCAAGCCTTTGCCACCAGGTGGCATTCTGAAAAGTGCAGCCAGCCGGGATGTTTTTCCTTTTGATCAGGATATTCACAAGTCATATAACGCAAAATTCCCAAATTCCTGGCACGCCTATGACAAAGACACTCAGGCTCCCCCCATCCAAGCGAAAAGTGACTTGAATCCTGTGAGAGTTCAGCAAGAGATTGCCTCTAAATTCTACATGGAAGACGTCGCCCAGGCCAGGAAGCACAAGTCAGACATGGCACCCTCGGCTCTGCTCATGTTGAATTCCAGCTCTGCTTCTCTGCTGCAGCTCACCACTGAAGAGATCATAAAGCTGAAGAAAATCATCTCAAGCTCATCGTGATCAGTCCACATGATTATATGAACACACCAACACCACCTTCAAGCTGACTCATATTAAGCTCTTTTATATACACTGTCTCACTGAAGCTCATTATATTACCTGTGATTCTGTTTAGTCGTCACACAACACAAGTGTCAGTTTACCAGAAGAAAAAGTCATTTACTGAATAAATCCTTCACTTCATGAAGCAAAGCTTGGTTTAAAGAGAATGTACATTGTTGATCTTTTTAAGCTTTTTGTACAGAAACATTGCTTGTATAATACATTTAATCTAATTAACATGTAAATTTACATAAATTCAAAAAAATAAAGTTAAAGTTTCATGAGTATTTGTAGATTGTGTCATCCTGTTGTTATAATTTTACACCTGTTACATTCTTACAATAACATTTTATCAAATAATACACTTCTGCTTTTTAAGAACCGGGCAATAATTCTGAAAGAGGATTAACTAGTTCAACAGCTATAATTGCCTTTTTTATCTTCTTTCAAACTATACTATGAAGGAGGACTGGAAGTTACTGCCATTGAAGGTACGCATGCTTTATTTTCTTCACTAGTTAAGCATGTAGGCCACAATAAGCCAATCAGACGCACATTAAAACCACTGACAAGATAATTACACTGATTATCTCACCACAGGGGCATCTGTCAAGAGGTTCAATACATTAGGCAGCATATAAACTTGAAGTACATGTGTTGGAAGCAAAAAAAAATGTGAGGAACTTTGACAAGGGCTAAATTGTGATGGCTTGATGACTGGGTGAGAAAACCACAGGAACTGTGGGGAGTTGCCAGTAGTTAGTAACAAAAAGTGGTCCATGGACGGACAACTGGTGAACTTCCAACAGGGTCAAAAGTAGCACAAACTGCTGAAAACCTTAACTATGATAAAACTATGATAAAGAGGTATCTGAAAACATAAAGCACTGTGGTTAGCTGTGTATGTGTCTATGTAGTGACAGGCTGCTCAGTGGTCTCTGGCTGACCCTTATCCACCACCAAAACCTCCTACAGTGGGCTCATTTGCTGTCAGAGCTGAACTGTGGAGCAATAGAAGAAGGTGGCCTTTGTGTGATGAATCACACTTTCCTTTACATGATGTTGATAACCAGGTGAATGTGCGTCACTTACCTGGGGAGGAGATGGCAACTATGGGAAGAAGGTACACCGTGTTTATGTGGATGTTACTTTGACATTTATACCTACATCACTACAGACCACATGCACCCCTTAATGGCTCTAGTTTCCCCTGACAGCAGTGGCCTCTGTCAGCAGGAAAATGCACAATGCTACAAATATTGCTCAGGAATGGTCTGAAGAAAGTGATGAAGGGTTTAAAGTGTGGACTTAGCATCCGTATGACCTAGTTTTCAATCTTACTTAGCACTGGTGCTAGAAAACAACAAAAAAGTCAAATTCATTGCTAAAATCCTGATACTTCTGATTCTTTCTCTCGCTCTCTTTTTTTTTTTTTTTTACATTTTCTTTTTTTTTTTTAAATAAAATTGGAAAACATTTCTGAACTTTCATATTCAAATCATGTATGTGCTCTTTCTCAGCATGTCATCAATACTGTGCCAAAACACCAGAAGTCAGTTAAGCAAAGAGAAGAGAAGACATGCCAATTGGCCTGTAGGAAGCTTTGTCTTTATTAGTCATGCTTAAACACTACATGCACAGCTTACTACTATGTTGTTGTTGTAATTATTTTTTCCACCTTCAAAACATGGTGTGCTGAACTTTCAGGTGGGACAACAGCATGGAAACTGAACTGACACACCCATAGCTATAATTTTAGACCAATTATAATAGGAGTCCTGTGATAATTTGAGGCTCATTGTCCTGAAAAAGCATTCCAGTTGAATAGCTCTTTAAACCATTAATTGGGAGAACAATAGTGAATAAGCCGTCAGCATACAAGAGGATTTCTCTGCTTCCTGGGTTTGTTTTTTCACCTGTTCTTTATCTCCTTAAATACATTGTTGAGGTTTCTAAAAGTATCAGTATTTGTACAAAATTCAGCATAAACATGTTTCGACAGGCTACTGGGTGGTCAATCTCTCACATTTGTAAGATGTGATTTGCCTTTTAGAAACTGAAAAAAACCCACTTTATAAATCTACGGAGAACAGTCCAAGCATCAGGCTCAGGAAGCCCTCAGGCTTTACAAAATATGGTTGTTGCATGTTACGTCATTTCATAGGTGGAATGTAGTCAGGGGGAGTTGTACTGGAATTTAGGAGCTTGAAGCATGTACAGTATTTTGAAATTGTTAGACATGAGATCTCAGTACAAGCTTAAAATAACATTACACAAACTGAGTGACCTCCAGATTCTTCCCACAGTCTAAAGACATGCATGGTAGGTTCATTGGTTGTGGACTTGGGGTCTGTCCAGGGTGTTGACCACCTCTTAATCAGCTGGGTTTGGCTCCAGCCAGCTACAAACATCTTTAAATCTCTTTTTTTTTTAAAAACAAAAATAAAAATCTACAAACCTCTAAAAATGTATGTATATTTAGTACTGTAGATGTTTCTGGAGTTATCAGCGAAAACATCTAGACAGCGTTTCCATTTCTTTTTTGTTAAAAGCTCCTATTGAATAATATTAAAGTTATTATCAATTTACATAGTGTGTTTCTAATGGACTGAATCTGCACCTTAGTAGTGTGATTCCTAAAGCCCAATGCAAAAAGGCAATGATTGAGTCTGAATACACTTCTTCTTTCTGTGCAGGATGGCATCCGAATGTGGTAAATCTCAAGAAGATAAATATAATGTGTAAAGTTGGAATGGCTTCCAGGAGGTGTTCCCACAAGATGATCATGCCCATAAAGTCACCGGTGGTTACCTTGAGGGGTGCTGTCAACTTACGCTAAACAAGGTTTTCCTGTGGGACTGTTTGGCTTCTGACTCAGCAGATACCTGCAAGCAAGCCAGACCGCTTTTGTGGTTTCAGGGTGAGAATTCTGAGGAAGAAATAGCTAACAGCTCATTTGGCATAAATGAAAGTGTCCATTTGTGTTACTGCATTACAATAAGAGGAGCTGAAAATATAAAATAGTTGGATTTAGTTGTCACTTAGTTGCTGCCCCTCTATTAAACCATCCGTCAGTCATTTGTTATAATACATTTACATTACTCCTAGTTTTTGTGAATCTCACATTAGTGACAGACTAGCCTATTGATTTCTTTCAAACACTGGGCTATGGTTCACATAACATGAAGTGATTAAGATAAAGAGAATCGTTTTTAGAAGCCACTTGGTAAATGCTGTCTCTTAACACAGACATGTCTTGTACAACACTGGCTAACATTGTACAATTTGTATTTATTTTTATTTTTTAACTAATAATGCTGGTTGGATAAACATTTGAAGAGAAGAATAAAAACAGTCAGTATGGTACAGTGAGTGGTGTCCTCTCGTGGGTTTTGAAACATTCATCACGTCCATGTCGGTTTCCTTGACCCGGCACAAGTGGACAGAATAAGAACAGTGTCTCACGTCTCCAGTCTAACTGTGGCGGGGTCATCAATAACTGTAAAAAATTAAAACAAACAAAAGAAAAATGCAGAAAAAGGTTTTTAAAAAATGGTGTCAGATCAGTCTTACTCTGTCTTGGTGTCTAATATTTAGTGTTAAACTAAGTGCAAAGCAGGTGAATCAACATGAGAACAGTTTCGTTTTGCCTTTCTTTTCTTTTCTTTTCTTTTAACACACACACATCTTAATTAACATTCTAGTCTGCAAAGACTTGCACATACTTCCCCTTCCTGACAGGTGAAACTATTCATACAACTGTCTGCCAACACCACAACTCCAACTGTGAGATTCTTATCAAGGCATCGCTCGGTATGAGGATGTTGTTTATTTGTTTGCCAGAACATGCAAGAAGCATTACTTGCCTAATCACTGTGACACAGATGTGGCCACGTCAATAAACTAGCCCACAGGTAGACGAAAAAGTATTTGTTTTTCTTGAATCTATGTTAATCAGTCTACCTATCACATTTTACACATCTGGATTTAACATTATCATCCATTGATGAGCAATGTGGCACGACTGGGTGGGTTGTACAAATTGTCAGAAGCAGGTTAATATCCGATTTTAACATATTTTCTTGTGTTATCTCTGCAAAGTAAACTTAAAGCCCTAAATACAAATCCATCAGACGTAGCAAATCACGTTTCTTCGACTGAAGAAGTTCGGATCTGACATTACGTCACATTCTCTGCACATATCATAGAGAGAAAACCATCAGCCGTACAAGGCCTACAAAACATATTCACCATCCTTGAAAGTTTAATTCAATTTAATTTGGCTTTTATTTTTTTGTCTAGAATTTACAAAAAAATAAAAAAAAAATCTTTCATGCCAAAGTGAAAACAGATTTCTATAAAGGTAATGCCAATTAATTAAAAATATAAAAAATGATCGCATTGGTATTCACCCCCTTTAACCCGATTCAGGTCTTTCATGTTGCCATACGTAGAAGGTCTTTCGGGGTCGTTGGCATTATTATATTATATATATATATATTATATATAATATTCGTTGGTATTCATTATAGACTTTAATTCATAATAAAACCAATAATTAAAAAAAACTTACATTTTCTGATAACTTGACACATTTTTGTTTCCAAATGCATACAAATGTCCCTCTTTTTATATTTAAAAAAAAAAAATCTTCAAAAAAAACCAAAAACCCAATACCTGTCACCTAAATCAAATGGCCTGGGGTCCAAAAGACCCCAAAACTCCGAAAGGGGGTTAAAGTGACTCTAATTCAATACAGGTTTTGATGCAAGAATCTGTATAATTATTGAAATAAAAATTATGTGAGTGCACTGAATGTGTCCAAAGTGACTGCAACATAAAAACACCTGTATCTGGAAGGTCCAGTCACTGGGAAAACAGCACCCTTAGCTTTAACTACACCCTGAAGACAAAAGAAAACTTTAAGTAACTCTGTGACAACGTTATTGAAAAGCACAAGTCAGGGGATGGACACAAGAACATTTTTAAGAGAGAGTGCAGTTAGATTTGTCATTAGGAAATAGAAGGAAAATGACACATGTGTAATTCTGCCAAAAACAGGCCATCCTCTAAAACTAAGTGACCATGTAAGACTCTAGTCTAGGCCACCAAGACACCTATGACTCTTCGGAAAGAGTTACAATCATTTGAAATGCATTCACTGCACTCAGATGGTCTCAGCTTCAATAGTTGTGACTTGTAGCACCAATTGTCTGCACTTGTGTTGGATTTGGGTCATTTTAAAAGGGCGAATGCTAATGCAGTCACTTATTTTACAAATTAAATTGACCATGATTCAATGTTGAAAAGCCATAAAAGCGGATAACTTCCAAGGTTGGTGACACCTCTTAAAGGGACTATATCTGTCTTTCTATACCAGCATGGAAAATCACAGCAAAGGCGTATATGTACCTATAGTCCAACCCACAGCCACTCACAGTACAGCTATTCATGCAATGTATAGTTCTGGAACAAAAAAAAAACGGCGATTGTTGGTGGGAATGTACACAGAATGTATTCAAAGTTACACAAGGCTAGCATTGTAAAGGCTGGCCTTAGTCACCTTGTCGGGTTGTTACCTCACATATGTCAACTATCAAACAGTTAAACCGGTTCTCTGAGACATCGTTTGACCAATCTCTGGCCTTTCTCTGTACACAAAACCAAAATCCAACTCCTAAAAAAAATGTGTGGCTTCTGACAACTAGCGTATTATGTGCTGACTTTAACTTGTAACTTTTATTTGCTTGCCATTGTGAGAAGTCAAATTATCAGTCAAAGCTTGATGACAGCCTACATTGTGTGAAAAGACGTCTTTATCCTGCTTTAGCTGTGATGTCACCTGTGAGTCATGTCATCGGTGACCTCAGTGGGTGCATGAAAGAAAAGATTATCACCTATGTCACTGTCTATTAATGCTTTTTCCATGATAATGAACACACCAAACAAGTAAATCCGCCCTAATATGGAACTTATTATTAAAACTGTGCAACAAACCTCCCATAGTAATTCCACTGCTATTACAGTGTGACGAAAAGAATTTGTGTTGAAATGACACGCAGTGCTTTTAAGATCTGAAATACCAAAAGAGACTGTGAGATATTACTAAGAATGAACCACAATCTCTTTTATCTACATATTTTAAACACTGAAGTATTGGCAGGTATTTATACATTGCAAAATATATGTTGTTATCTAAAGTATGTAGGCAGGAATTGACAGTTTCACTCAACACTTTTTGTCATGTGGGTCAAATTCAAACAGGTCCTTTTGTCGCTCTACCTTAAAGTCAGTAGCATGTCTTGTTTAGCATTTCCCCACTCGGAGTAACAATGCTGGAATGTCCAATGAACAAACAGAAGATTATGCCCGTCATGATCAGCTTTAGGAAAGGATTTTCTATTTAATGCAGCCAGAGAAAGTGAATCATGCTGGTGCGTGTGTGGTAGTTAGCCTACCTTTCCTTGTAGTAAGAAGACAGCAAAGTACGGATCTCAATAGATAAATCTGGAACTGCAGGTCCCTCCATGGGAAGGGAGGGTGTTACTGAGGAGGAAAAGAAATGAAAGATGAGTGACTTTCATTAAAAATGATCAAACACTAGATTAAATATGTTAAACATGTGACTGGAAACAGTATTATCTGTATTATCTGACTTAACAATCTAACAGATTGGCTCCGTTCAGACTGCAGGACTTAATGCTCAATTTGGATTTTTTTGTGAAATCCGATTTTTTGCGAGTTCATTCACATGTCCAATTAAATGCGACTTGCATGTGATCTCCTGTGTGAATTTCATACGACTCAAAATGGTCCCGTATGCGCAGAAGAGGACACAACGACGTCACACGCAGTGAGCGTGCTCAGTGTTTACGCGGGGGAGTGGTACTGCCACCGCCACCAGTGGTGGAAACAGAACTGTGACTGCTTTGCTAAACTAGCATCAATAGCCAAGTATTGCCTGGGTGTTCCAGCCACTTCCAACCCGTCAGAGCACTCCCCCAGGGTGGAAGTGTCCCCCGACCACTCCGAATATTCGGATAATCATTATTAATTGGGCCTGAATATCCAGAGACCAGAAAGTGCTGTTCGGACCAGTCCTACTAGTTATTAGCTATAACTATGAACAATAATTAACAACAAATGACCCTTCAAGCATCAAGCCCTCGTTGTATCTCGACCTCCATCTTGACAATCCAACAGTCTTGATGACTAATGAATGTTTTGCTGTTCAAACAATACACCAGCATTGTAGATGCTAACAGAAGTTTTGTCCCTTGGTTTGCTCCCTTGGAGTGCAGCCATAGAAGTTTTGATCGGCATGACTGAGGTTTTTGTCAGCAGGTGTTGGAGATAATGTGTCTATTCACGTTGACATTGTCTGTCTTTTTGTCTCAGGTCATTGTTGGGCACCTTTATTTATTTTTAAGATCCTGCTACTTACTCAAACTGGTTTGTCTACTTTCAGGCTAGGCGTCACTCCAACTTTCTGCAGATAAAGACGGGACATTTTCAAATGATAGGGTATTGTCATAATTCCTGGCATGAACGGGCAAATGTGTTCAGTAGGTTCTGACAGTTCTCATAAATTATTGGGTAGGTAAGTTTGTGAGCTTCAACAGCAAATCATGTTCCATTTCTGTATGGTGCACAGATTCAGATTTATTTATTTATTTTATCTTCACTTTCTGAGTCTGTCGATGTGTTCGTGTGTGTCTCGTCATGGCAAAATGTTGCCGTGGAGACATTTGGCAGAAACTTGGCATGTCTGTCCGTCTGTCTGTCTGCCTGTGGACAGATGTTGTCAACACAACAGGGCGAGATGCACTCTTGTAACTTTACAGGTATTTTGGCTGGAATCAAAATCAAGTTTGAAGATGGGTGTGGTCCAACCAGTGACTACTCCTGCAAAAATGTAGCAGTGACCACTGAAGATTCATGGGTTGAAATGTAAACAAGCTGAACGGCATCACGGTTGGTGTGGGCCCATCCCAAGCTGGTCTTTAGTTGCTGTTTTTGTGCAAATCCCTCATAAGTCAGGAGCAATTAATATCAAATCTGCATTAAATGGCAATAGTCACTATTTTTTATAAACAATGGATTGTATGACTACTTGTGAAAGGAGTTACTCATAGTTACGAACTCACAGAGAATTGTCACCTGTCTCTGAAATTCACCTCATCAATACTGAGTTTTTTGGAATTTTCCACATCATTGTTTTGCAGCTTTTCACTTACCCAACTTTGCATCAAGCTGGTGACTAATTGATGAATGTAGTGAAGCATTTAGCAACGAGAAAGTGAGATATTTCCTTCAGGAATTAGTTGAGTCAAACAGAGGTAAAATAGGATGGATTTTGAACTTAACTATATTTACAGGAAGGAGAAATGCAACTCAAAATGAATTTTGATGCAGTATAGTACCTGCTGTATGTATAATACGGCGCCTGCTAGCTGATAAGTTCACTGCATCAGCTTAAAAAGTCTAATTATATCACGTTGCGACTGCTTGTGTCTGCGCCTATGTGGTCCAAAATCTATAAAAACAGCCTTAATGAGTCAATTTGCAGTTTAGGTGCAATTTAATTTTAAAAGTCTTCCTTTATAAACTACATACTATATATGAAGGAAACATTATTTTTGCCAAAAATAAATAAATTTATAATGTGACGTGGAGCAACTTTAGTCGGCGACTCGACATAAACCGACAACAAACCTTCTTTTACGGTTTCAGTTGTCAGATATCAGGAATGCAGCCGTGACGGAGGCGTTGCTCTGCCTCTGGTACGCTACCTATTTCATGGTATAGAGATCCCTGCTTCACTGAGATGGATTTCCTGCAGCTCGGCGTTTCGATCTTCATCAGGTTATCACAACACTGTTTCCACTGACCTGCAACGACAAGTATTAGCAGGGATTTATAGAGCAGATTAAAGGCAAAAACTTAGCCAGCCACCAATAAACTCAATAAATAACAGCAAGTAGGCTGTGAAAGCTTTTCTCACGATACCTGGCAAGCTGGCAGCATCTCAATACTAATGCCAGCCTGAGAATCTGTGTTAATACCTTGGCCTACAGGATGTCATACCTGTTGTACCGCATATCAGCACGTAGTTACCTTTGTACGGCAAGCATTCGTTCTGATAACTGATAAAAGTTAAAACAAATATTTGTGCAACATATTTGTGCTGCTGGTGTTTCTGTGGCCTTAAGAAAAACATCAATCAAATAACCGTCTTTTAAAAACTGAGGAGTAAAGGCACCAGAAAATAGCACCTGCATAGTTTCGCTTGTCGCTGGGCATTTGAGAAAGGCCTCTATATCAATAGCATTACAGTATGTTAAATGTGTCATTGCACTTTTGTTTTCTAGACAGATGGCCTGAGGGATCTACACGTAATATCTTGCCAAAATAAAGTGATAGGTGAGAAGACAGCAAAACTTTAAACAAAAGACTGCAGACAAACAAACACACCCATGTTCCCGCCAAGGAGTGGCGCATTGCTGCATTCAGTTATTGTTAATATGGATGTGATGACAGGTTCAAAGATTCTTTTAAAGCCTGCTCTGTGTGTATGCATCCCACAAGCTAATGCAATAAGATTTTGGAAACACATTTCTCTCTGACTGTTTTCTAGCATTAAAGGTTTTATTGTGTGCACATGTTGTAGTTTCCTAAACTGATGCATCATTTCACTGAAATAAAACAAGATTTCCTCATAACGTGTCACATGGGAACTACAAACCTGTCCTGCCTGCTGAAATACAGCCAAAGCAGCTTTGCTCGTCGGTACAGATCACACTGCAGGTATTGTTACAGTCAGCATAGCATTTTCTTGTAATCAGGCCTTACTCATGTTATAGACGTGCTGCCGCAGGGCCTCCTCCCAGCGCTGTGTGTCTTCAGGTGTGTGCGTGGTGAGTGTGTAGGTTACATCATCTCCGTGACGCTGCATACTGATGTCTATACTCTGGCACTGGACGGCATCGCTCTCAGACACACAGACAAGAGTATCCTGACAGAAACACACGTCTCATTATCGAGGTAATGAGATTGGATTAGCTGCATGAATACACATGGCAAAGTAACAAAGGGATTATTTTTCTTGACGCAGCCACGTATTTAAGATATTACAGGTAGCCATAATTTCACAGTTGGCCGACACTGTAAAAAAAATAATTAAAATAATTTTTCCTTTAAATTTAATAGATTTTTCCACATTGTTGAAATTAATTTTTTTTAAAAAGAAAGAAAAAAAAATCCAGAAAACTACTGAAACTATTTACACATGTACGGTAAAATCAAATTAAATAATATTGAATTCAGATTTTTGACAAAAAAATCAATAAAAGCATAATAACTGTAATTTCAAAAATATTTAATTTCATTAATTAGGGATCATTACCTACAGAAGTTTTCACAACCAAAATCGCTGTGAATTATGTGTTCTCATTAGTTAATTATATTTAGAAAGTCCAATTTTAAATAATTTTATTTTTAATCATAATCATCATCATCATCATCATTATAATCACAATCATATTCTATCATAGGTCATTTCATTATTTTTACATGTGTACATATTCAACATTAAACATTAAAAATCCCAACTTTTGAATGCACTTGATCTAATACTAAAATTAAGGCTAGAGAATGTATTTCATTGTGAAAAATTACTGAAATATGAGATGTTTATTTTATGTTATTTTACAGTATTTTCTGGCACACTAGCTGCAAAAACATCAGTGTTTTCAGTTTAGTTTCATTTTTTATTTTTTTTTACTTTCTTTACACAGTGCATTATATGTATTAATAGTTTACTTTTAATTGACAAAGTTGACAGCTCAGCGCCATTTGGTTGAATTTTAGTGTAAATTTGCTGTAGACAAAAACGATATTTTTCATCTACAGTTGAAACCAGAAGTTTACATACGCTGTATAAAAAGACACATAACCTTTCTTTTCTGAACTATCGGATATTAAATGCGACTAAACTTTTCCTGTTTTAGGGCAGTTAGGATTACTAAAATGATTTCTATTTGCTAAACACCAGAATATTGAGAGAGAGAATGTTTTATTGCTTTCTTCAGAGTCAGAAGTCTATATCCATTTCCTTAATATCTGGTAGCATTTCCTTTAAACTGTTTGACTTGGGTTAAATTTTTTGGGTTTCCTTTCACAAGCTTCTCACAATAGTTTGATGAATTCTGGTTCATTCCTCCTGACAGAACTGGTGGAACTGAGTCAGGGCTTTGTGGTGGCCACTCCAAAACATTGACTTTATTGTCCTGGAGCCTCTTTGTAACTAATCTGGCGGTATGCTCAGAGTCATTGTCCATTTGAAGACCCATTTGTGCCCAAGCTTTAACTTCCTGGCTGATGTCTTGAGATGTTGCTTCAATATTTTCACATAATGTTCTTTCCTCATGATGTCATCTATTGTGTGAAGTGCACCAGTCCCTCCTGGAGCAAAACACCCCCACAACATGATGCTGTCACCCCCGTACTTCACAGTTGGGATGGTGTTCTCAGGCTTGCAATCTTCCTCCCCTTTTTTTTTTTTTTACAATGATCATTGTGGACAAACAGTTCAGTTTTAGTTTCATCAGACCACAGGACATGTCTCCAGAAATGAAGGTCTTTGTCCCTGTGTGCATTTGGAGTAATATCTTCTTCCTCTCTGAGTAGCCTTTCAGCCCATGTTGGTACAGGACTGGTTTCACTGTGGATAATGACACTCTCTGACCAGCTTCAACAGCGTCTTCACAAGGTCTTTAGCTTTTGTTCTGGGGTTGATATGCACATTTCTCACCAAACACTTCATCTCTGGGACACAGAACTCGTCTCCTTCCTGAGCACTATGATGGCTGTACATTCCCATGGTGTTTATACTTGCATATAATTGTTTGAACAGATGAATGCGGAACCTTCAGGCATCTGGAAATTGTACCCAAGGATGAACCAGACTTGTGGAGCTCCACAATTCTCTTCCTGATACCTTGGCTGATTTCTTAAGATTTTCCACGCTGTCACAAAAGGAAGCAGTGTGTTTGAGGTGTGCCATAAAATACATCCGCAGGTGTGCCTCCGATGAACTCAAATGTTGTCAATTAACCTATCAAAAGCCATGACATCATCATGTGGGCCTTCCTAAATAGTTTGAAGGCATAGCAATCTTAATATATGTAAACTTCTGACTTTGAAGACTAATAAAAAATTCTCTTAAAAATTCTTTCTCTCATTTTTCTGGCATTTAGCCAATAGATGTCATGCAGACCTCTGTCCACCTTAGAGCCTCCTGACTCTGTGCATCACGCTGCAGTGCGCTTCAGCTCAAGCAGTACGATCCTCATCATCATATCATATTACTGTATGAAAACGTGTGGTAGTCTTCCTTGACAAATACAAAGAATTTTCATTGCACGTGACTTATGAATAAAACTCAGAGGCAAAAACTCGACTCTCACGACAGCTGCTCTGCGGTCTCACACGTGATCACAACCTCAAGTCATGTTATAGAGTTAATTGTACCACATGTTCAGACTGAACGTGAAAGAACTGGTTTTAAGCTGTTCGCTTCCTGCAAACAAAAAAAACCCTTGGAACTAACATCTCTTGCTTCAAAATTTCCAAAGCTATACTCAATTATTTGGAGCTTCTTTCCTTACAGTGATAAGGAATATGGAATGATTCTGTCCATGCTTCGACTATAGATATGTAATCTTGTGCACCAACTTCTTTGGCAATCATGATTTCAATAAGACTACCAGTTTAAATAGACAAAATCATCTTGAAATGTGGATGTTGTGAGATGTTTAAGGGATTATAAAGAAGAAAAGAACAGTTTTGTTGCACAAATCTGTGTTCAGGATAAGTCTGTGCTGTTTTCTCGCAAATACTAGATTTTATTTTTATTTTTTTACCTCTTTGAGCCTGAAGAAATAATTCAACCCGAGCAGTTTAAAGGGTAAATTACTGTTGTGTGGACCTTCTAATGGCTCATAAACACTAGACACAGGTGACAACCAGGTCGAAGGAGAAAAGCTCTGACAATGTTTGGTATTTCATAAGCTCGCCCCAAAGTTTGACTAAAATTTGATTAAAAAGTAGTTAATAGTAGAATATTTCCCAATGAAATGTTGTGGAGCAGAACTAAAAACTGGCAACAACACAAGAAAGGAAACGCTATCCAAAGCTGGATTTGACCATTTCTATATCAGTAATATGAGCTTACTATTTAACCACTGTTTAATTTGGAATTAAATTACTTTTTAAAATTATATATAATGTAGCATTCATGGTGATGACGGCGCGCATAGACGTCCCCTTCAGGAGACAACGAAAGTGAATGTTTTGAGTGTCTTGTCTATCCCCAGACGTTCATTCCGTAAAACTTGCAGCCGGGAGACATTGTTGGGCGTCAGGACAGTGAACAGCGCTGGAATTACAGCAATCGGTTGTGATGTGGACATACTACACCAACACGGAGTCTGACTGGAGACTACGCCAGCAGTTACCCGAGAGAGAAGGAAGTGCAAACACTACAAACATAAACAAAGGAGGAGGAAGCGAGTTGGGATACATGCTAGGGTAAAATCTAACCCCTCCAGACCAGCAGGACCGTCCTCCTACTCTCCAATGTCCACTCCCTCCACAGCAAGCTGGACGAGTTACGTTTGCTGAGAGAAATCCGCAGAGTGGAGGGACTGCTGTGTGTTTGCTTTAACAGAAACATGGCTCCATGACAACATCCCAGATGGACATACAGCTGGAGGAGACGACATTATTCTGGCTGGACAGACAGACAGCTAGCTCTGGGCAGCATCTGCAGCTTCACCATCGTCACACCATCGTGTGTCTTTGTGTCCCTGAAGACCTACCAGGACCTGAAGAGGTTCACCATGTCAACGAATGGCGGCCCTTTCAGGAGGCATCAGTAAACATTTAAGTGTCTTATTCCAGACGTGCAGTCCACAAAACTTGCTGGTTGAGTAATCCTGAAGAAACCATCTCTCATCTTGCCTGTACTACTGTGTATGTACAGCAAAATGACAATAAACCTGATTTGATTTGATTTTATATGCGACAGAAAGGAATCATGTTTAAACCGCATCAAAAATTCCAATCTTCGCATCTTCACAACAGATTTCCTCTCCATTAATTCATCGCTGCACTCTGGTGGCCTCGGCTTGTTATTGTCATCAGCCTGGACAAATTACTAAATGAAACCGATTCCTTGTTCATCACGTTTCGACTGGTTAGAACCAACCTTTTTGATGGGGATCACAAGCAACGGCTCCTCCTCAGAGTCCAGGTCTTCTTCACTCTGATAACAGAGAAGAGTTTGCCTCCTGAGGACGCCATAGACATTCTCCCAATAATTAAAGTCCTCTTCAAGCTGAGGGAGAGCAGGGCGTAAAGCAGTAGTGTAAATGAGAATGATAATTAAAAAAGAAAAAAAAAAGAAAGGTTGGATGTTGTATGAAAATCTAATCACCTTGATCCTGATTTGTCCACTGATCACTGTTTCAGTCATACACTGAGGCTGAGCAGCTAAGCGGCAGCACATGTTTCCGTACAGAGGCAACCAGAACGGACTGTCCTCTGGAAAACAAAAATTATAATCTGTAGAAGAAGACGGAAAAAAAAAAAAAACAGGAGAAGAGGAGAAGATGGCAATCACCTGTTGCTGAAAGTGACAAATCATGTGTCTTGAAACCTTCCTGGACGTGTTCAATTCTCAGCGTTGTGTGAGCCAGCAGGTTATACTTGGCCCCCCTTCAGACAGAAACACCACTCACAGTTTATCTAAAGGACAACATCAAATGTGTTTGATGGAGCATTGTCTTACAGTGCAGATAGGTCGGGTGATAAAGGCGGTGACATGCTTCCAGGTCTTCCACCTCCTCCAGTGGAAACGGATCCACAAAAAGCTGCAGACTCAAAGGCAGCACGGATCTTTTTCCCAGAGGAGCGTCCCAGAGAGCCTCCAAGGAGGCTCACTTTCCTGGATCCCAGAGGTGCCGGGGAGAAATCCTCCACCACACAGCTGCTGTAGAGCTCGACACGAAGCTGGAACCCTGGAGCCACGTTGCTGCTGCTCACACACACACATAGAAATGAACTCGTAAAATGGTTTTAAAGTAAGATAAGATAAGCCTTTCTTAATCCCACGGTGGGGAAAACTTGCATTGTTGCAGTAGTCCATGTTGGGACGTCAGTAGAAACAAGACATTTCTCTCTTCAAATAGAAGTGAACAAGAGTAGAGATGACTCACAATATGATCGTGTCTTCAAAGCAGATGTCAGTTAAAGTCCTGTCGACCATCACCAGGTCGGTGTCGTGGATCTCTGTCCCACACTGGAGGAGGCAGAACACAGCACAGCGATGGAGCTCTGCAAGTTAGCAGACAAGAGTACACTGTTTGAAAAAAGAAATTAAAATCTGCAATCTTACATTTTGTATTTTTAGCTCGTTTTTATTGTATAGATTATTTTTATTTTAAAAAAAAATTTTTTTGGTATTTTTAAATAAAGTGTTAGTGTCAATTTTTTAAAATGGACAATGGACATAAAAAAGATCTGTGAAATGTACAAAATTTAAAAATATTTATATTATGCTTAATATCACCTGAAATCAACAATTTATTGTTAAAAATATAATGAAAAAAAAATTGGTGTAGAACCATAGTTGTACACTTAAAAAAAAATCCATACATTTATAGGTGGACATACTTTTACATTATTTATTTATTTATTTATTTATTTTTACATAAATAATATTAACAATACTACTCATAAAATTGAAAATAATAACACCTAACAATGGCTCTTTTCTGCACTACTTAGCCTGGTTATTTTTACATTATTTAACATCAACATTTATGCTTAATAAAAAGCCCTTTATTAAACATTAAAAAGCCCAAAAATATACAATATGTAAAATTCATGCTACAACTGTGTTTGAATTATGGAAAAGGTCTTTTTTTGTTTTTGTATTTTTTTACAGTAGTAATATTTCAGGCTGCTGAAATGTTATATATTACTCAGTTTTTTCTTTTGTTTACTCATTCAAGGTAATCATGTATGGACAGTAAGTGTTTTTAACTGCATATATTCTTCATAAGAGGGCTGCTTTATACAAAAGAAGAATATGTCAGAGCTTTCACTTTTGAATCTAAATGATTTTCTCCTTTGATCCATAAGTTCAATGGATCTCTTCATCACACCAGTCTGACTTACCTCCTTTGTTTTTGAAGTACTCGGAGTCTTTCCACATGAGAGGGATGCGCAGGTCTACAGAATGCAAACTATAACGTTAGGAATATAAAATATATACTATATAAAAGCTAGGTTCAAGTAGTTTTTATAAATCTGAGGCAAAGCGGTCACCTGAAAGTGCTACTTTTCCTGTACATGGCTCTACATCTTCAGATGGTCTGCAGTGAAGGACACAGACCGTTTATCCACCGTCGATACACAACGAGACGGACAAAATCACAGCAACACCAGTGCCAACAAAGCAACTCTAGCAACTTTAGGTTAAAAAAGAATAATTAAAGTTGAACCAACACATTTTATATTGTACATCATTAAAACAAACTCACCATTACATAAATATAAGGGGTTATACACAATTAAATAAGGTAAACAAACACATTTTTATGTGAATTTAAATCGTTATCTGACCTCTAGTGGCTCACAGGGTGAATGACAATGTCTGCAAACACGTGACTTGCCTCTACTTTATAACACACCTGTGCAATATCACTTTTCTACATCCCTTTGCTGATATATAATCTGCAGATGTACAGTATAGTCTTGCTCTCCATCTGACCTGCATCCCACTCTCTGCAGGATTTGCGCTTTCCTCCTCTTCTGCAGTTGGCTCAGCAGGGCCAGGATGCGAGCATTGCAGGTGAGCAGACTCTTGGAGGCCTCCAGGGCCTGCTCTCTCTGGGAACAAGCTCCCAGCAGCTTACTGGCCCCCTCACGCATCCGCACCTCCCTCTCAATCTGCTGCAGCAACTCCACATCCTGGAAGAGATTCATGCAAAAAAAATAAATAAAAAAACAAATTACATGACTTTAAATGAAAGTTTGAGATGCTGAGACTGATAGGAATAGGCTTTGTTTTGGAGATCAAAGGGCTGGACAGTGAGAGCCTGAATACACTGTCTTCATAGCCATGGCTGATGGAGTGGATAACTTTACTCTACTTAGACATTTTATCAGCCATCTGTGACGGCCCCCCACCTGTGGAACAGCCTGCCGAAGGGCCTCAGGACTGCAGAGACTGTTGATATTTTAAAAAGAAGGTTAAAGACACACCTTTTTAATCAGGCTTTTAATTGACCTTTTAAATTCTTTTTACATTCTTGTCATTTATTTATGTATTTTTATGTTTTTATCTCATGTATTTTACTCTTTTAATTTTCATCTTGTCTTACATAGGGCCTTTTATCTTTAAAGTTTTTAGTTTTTAACTCCAGTGTTTCCTTAGGGGGGGTCCTCCACACTGGGGGCAGTGTCCAGTCTGCTGCAGTCTGGGGGTCCCCCTGTCTGCCGGGTTGTTGGGGGGTGCCGGTGCCCCCAGTGGTCATGGTCTGTGACTCCTCCCGGTGTGGACGGCCCCATTGGTAGCGTTTCCCACAGTCCCTCAGTGCCGTGCCATGCTTCCTTTAATGTAGTGGTGAGTGTGTGTGCGTGCATGTGTGTGTGTGCGTGTGACTGCATTGACTGCATATGTGTATGTGTATGCATGGAGGGTGGCAGGGACGGGTTTTCTTTTACAATATTTTTAAATGTCATGTTTTTAAATGCTGTAATATTTTTTAATACTGTAAAGCACTTTGTGTTGCTGTAGTGCATGAAAAGTGCTATACAAATAAAACTTGATTTGATGGATGTCTATGCATTGTCAAGCTCTTTTGCACATTTCTGGACATTGTGCACTATTATCAGCCTTGTAACTTTCAAACACTGAACTGCTTCTTCCAGCAGGAACACGTTACATAAGAGCCCAGCGTTAAATTAGTGCATCGCTTTAATCCCTGGATATCATCCAGGTGTCAGATCTCCAGGAGTAAACTGATTGCAGATGAGCTGGTCAGATCACAAACTAAAGACAAAGTTCATATTGCAGGAATTCATCAATGCACAATACATAATGTTACCGTTGTCTTCTGTCTGAAACTATAGGTTTTGTTTTCACTGCTGGTAAGGAATATGATGCTGGAGCTCACATGCAGGAGATGGAAGATTTTATTTATAATGCACTTAGAAGCATGTTTCCTGATGAGCTTGTTATTGGAGAATCTGGTTGAGAGTGCTGTTTGTTTATCATTTCATTGGGGGGACAGTATATATTATGTATTATTGTGATGATTGAGAGCTTCTTTTTTTTATACTGTGAGTCATTACTGTAAAAAATAGTCACATGTAAGTGTTTGTTACTGAACAGCCCCTAAAATACAACGTGACCATCAAACTGAGGCTTCATACTATCAACACATTCAATTCCAGTTATTTACTTTAACATAATGACCAAATTTTGACATTGTTATTATTATTATGTCACGTTCCCTAGACTTGCTTCACAATGGACTCTTAATCTCACTGTTTTGAGGTCCACTGTGCATTACCACACATATCAGGTGAGGTGCAGCTTTAGGGATCAGAACACTGTTGCATAATTCAGTCATGTTTTCTGAGGTTAAGCCTTGTTGGTATGTTTGATTTCATTGTGAGGAAATCTGACAAAATTACATAACTCCTAATTAACACAACTGATTTAGAGGATTTTTAATTGGTTTTGTATTTTTCTTAGATTCCTCAGGCTACACTGGGAACTGATGCAGATTCATAACAGCTTGTTATTAAGTATGCTCTATTTTTTTTTTTTTTTTACTACAGACATTTTTTTCCACAGAAACACAGAATATGCATTCACATAATGCATTAACCAGCTGAGAGTCTTGATAAGGATATATTTTATCTCAAATATAGCGACAGTTATTCTTTGAATACTCCAAAAGGGTACACTTCAGACCTACATTTCATTAAAACCAAACAGCACACGATCATACATTTCTGTGTTAAACCACATTATTTACATTCACCGGAAATGCAATCAATACAAAACCCCATCCTTCCACTAACCTGGCTGTCATCATTCATGTTCCTTCTGTGCCGTAGCTCAGACGTCCGCTCCGCTCTCAGTGCAGTCAGGCAGCACACTGAGTGAACGGACTAATCTCACAGCTGACTGGAACAGCGTTAAGAGGGAACCTGCAGACAGAGCAGTTAGTTACTCAACAGAGAGATCAAAACAGTCCTAAGCCTTCCTACAAGAGGTTGCAGCATGAGGGATTAGAGTCTCAAACATTATCGCTTTTTATTCCAATGGCTCTATCACACGCACCAATGAATGCCTGTATAACATTCCCACAGATATAATACGGCTTCTCCTGCATTTCAGCATCTGAAAATAATACATATATATATATATATACACCTGAGCAGGCATTCATCCTAACCATGCAGTTATGGTCACCATTCTGTTTTGTCTAAAGCTACTGGCTGGTTCTAACAAACTAAATGTTCTTCCAACTCTAGAAGAAGATGCAGGACTGAGTCTCTAGAACTCTCCCTCTATCTAGAACTCGGTATCAAAAAGGGAAATACACACATTGCTTTATAATTATTAGGTAAGGGTATGAGGGAGCCATTATAAACATGCTGTACATTTCAATGCAAACCAGTGTAGCTACCCTGCAACAAATGGGATTTACTATCATTAGTCAGCTGAAATACGAATGTTTATTTGTGTTACATGGACAGGAGTATACCATTAGAAACATGCTTTTGGACTGTGTGGGAGGAAGCCGGAGAACCCGGAGAGAACCCACGCTGCACGGGGAGAACATGGAGACTCCACGAGGAAAGATTCTGGTGCCCTCACCGGGGACGCGAACCGGCCACCTTCTTGCTGTGAGGCAACAGTGCTACCAACTGCGCCACCCTGCAGCACCAATTGTTTAACGTGAGCAATTTAAATTCAAATTATGTGATTCAGTTTTTTTTTTAAAAAGAAAAATTTTCACTCCAATTATTTAAGTCAAGCAACTGAAACTCAAGCTATAAGATTCAAATTCAGTTTCTATGTATTTCTGCCCATAATTTTGTGACTAATTCAAAGAGGTGACTATTAATTTCTGGGGTAATGATTTGTGGTACTATGAATAATTGAACTGCATTATTGCACCGTGTGTTATTGTAAATGGATGTAAATTCAATGTTAATGTAATACTCTCCTGAAGCAAGCTGACCTATGTGGTCTGCCTTCGGAACAAATCCATCAGGAAGCAGCCGTTCAGGTACGAGACTGCAGTTTGTAGACACAACAGGCTCGGTGACATTTAAAGGACACGCAAAGATGAATGTGCTCTCAGCAGTTATTAAACCTTTACGGCAGATTCTGTAATTACTGTAAATGTTGCACTGACAGATGAATAACCTCTCCATTATCTCTGTTTGTGTGTTCTCAGCTGGGTGTTTGTGCATCCCAACTGGTGACGAGCAATTCTTGCAAAATCACAGCTGCCCAGCGAAACTCTGTGGCTTACTGACGATGCTACGCAGCTCGAGTGTCTTCTGCATAGACTGTAAGTAAAGGTGGAAAAACCTGTCAAATATTGGCTTCCTGAACAGTGGTTTTGATGTTCAGGACATCAACAAATTTTCACCATTGAAACAGATTTAAAGTTTTAAAGACACATTCAAATATAAGTAGTGGATTCCTGTGACGATCGTGATAAACTTAAACTATTCTGATGTGTGATAACAACTACATTAAAATACTGTAAGATTATGAGAAACAAAATAAAAAAATCAAGTAGCCGTTCCTTTGCCAGTCTACAACACCTCAGAGGTTGTGATGCAAACCATCACTCATTCTCTGTGGGAGGCAAAAACCCTCATGATAAAAATAATAACACAACCCAGATCCCATCCACCCATCACTGGTGCAAAAGCTGTCTGAATAATCACACTCTCAATAAACTCTGCTGAAGCTGTGGTAAACAAGCTCAACTACACAATATCATCCTTCACCTACATTTAGAAGACAATAAAGTTTGTTATGTTCTTGCTGGCCTTCTCAAACTTTTCATTTTAGGTAGCTACATGACAGGCAGTGATGCCACAGCCCTGGTCACAAACTATAGTTGATTGCTTTTAAATTGGATGCTGCTGTTTTTGTCTTTATCCCTTGTTAGCAACGTCTTTACTGTCTAAAACAAAACTGAGGTTGTAAAGCTGCACCTTAGTATTTGTTTGAAATCAGCCAGTGGTTAGAACTTAGGGAGGACTTCACAAACTCAGAGATGGATGTAGAAATGCCACATCATCAACATTAAGTTAACTTCTGGTAAAAGTAGGTTTGTACAATTATGGAGAGAATTATTTTTTGTCCTTACAGTTAAAAGTAATTAAATCTAATTAAACAGCAACAAACGTTTCACAGACTGTTTGGTAGACAAAGCTGAAAGTGGCCTCAAGCAATCAACTGATTCTCCCTGAGCTGTGTTTGCTGTGAAGGGGAAGAGAGATTGTGCACATGAAGTTTGAGTGTAACTTGATGTAGTGGTTTTTAGTCCTCGGTAGACTTGAGTTCAATATGTATAAGTGAGGTTGACAGCAATGAATAAAACACTGATGGACACTTGATCTTTGTGAATTGTGAGGTGCAGCAGGAGCCAAGCAACATCAGCTACATGCAGCTGGTCATACAGCAAAAGATTTCTGCCAGAGAGGTTGGATGATGCTGGCTGAGTTTCAGGGAATTAATGTTCTCTGTCAGTATCCACAACTGCACCATATTCTTGCCTAACAGCAGTATCTGGATAGAAGTGTTTCAAATCTATGCAATGAACTCTTGTAAATAGTCATTTTGTTTTATCCAACTATCAAAATAGATGAATACGACAGTTCGTTGGACTATCTAATCAGCAATTTCCCTGAGGTTTCCACCAAGGGGATCAATAGTTCTATTCTATTCTATTCTATTCTATTCTATTCTATTCTATTCTAATCCTGTCACATCATACAGACTTTTCAGCAGAATTTTGTCATTTCTAGCTGTCCTTGTTTGGACAAGGAACAAGTGTTGAAACTTTAAGATGAGTTCAGTCATATTTAATCATGCAGTAGAAGGAATATTTTTTCATCCAGATTGTTAGAGGAGCCTTTGATGATTCTGGAAATGCCTTCATAGGAGTTAAGAGTTGTTAAGCAATCTTTTGGAAACATTCAGGGATCACCTGGTAAGGAAGCACAAAATGGAGCTCAGCAAATCACGATTTTGCATATGAGAATGTTCCAAGGTTTAAAAAGTCTCTTTTATGAAAGCAGTTTAGTTATTAAACAAATGTAACATAAATATTCTGTCACTTTACAACGTGACACAATCCCAAAACCAACATTGATCTTATGCAGAGAACAAGTTTCCTCAAATACCGCAAAGTAAACAAAGGTCTGAAAAAGAAAAAACACACCCACAGGTGATATATGAGAACATAAAGCTTCACAATTAAGATGTTTTTTCACTGGTAGCCTGTAAACTGAACCAAAATAAAAAAGTAGCAAAACAGACTGTACATGGAAGTTTCAGACTGTATGAAGAAATGGTGGAACAGAGTGCTTTATTGAGATTTTACAGAATTCCAAGTTTTACTTTTAATTATCCAACGAATCATTAAGGTAGAGAACACATGAAGTGCCTTTTTTCTCAAGTATCAAACATATTAATCTGAATGCTGCACAACTGTACAAGGTGCTCTGAACGCTCAACAGATCTACTATATACAGTTCAACAAAACATCTTAAGCTATGAGTACCTCTGCTCTGAACTGGATCCAGTTTACTGAATGAAATTCTACTTAATGTCTTTGCTGTCTAAATGAAAAGCCAATTTCAGGATATCCAAAGTTGCACAGCAGAGACATTTAAAAAATAATACACTGAAACGTACAACTGTACATAATGCTGAGTTACTGAGTTATATTTTTTCTTCTTGAGACCAACATTGGGGTCTGAAAATTGGACAAATATGGAAAAAACGCTTGCTATTGTACAATATTTACATTTTCACAGCTCGTTAATAAAAATGTTATGAAATGTGAGTGTTGCTGCCACTCCTTCAGTCAAACCAGTCACTCATCGATGTTTTGTTATCCAGGTGAAAAACGTTTCAGTATGTAATATTTGAACAAATGGCAATTTAGAAATGAATTTCGGCAAACTAAAAAAGTTCTGTACACATCCAAAGTGCTTGTAAAAGTGAAAATGCATTTGTCAGCATACTCCATAAAGCAGTACAGCTGCCAGACAAAAAATAAATTTTAGTTATAAATTAACTTTTACAGACATAACTTAACGACAACAATGCAAACCACCTGCAGGTTCCTCCCCTCCTTTCACCTCTCTGCTTTTTATTCCTCCTCCACTTCTGTAAAAATGTCACTTAAGAAGTACTGAGACACGCTGGTGGGCTCCTCCTCCTCTAAAGTGCTGCTTTCCATACAGTCACTTTCCTGAGAGGCTGAAGCCTGCAACAAACAACAAATGATCGACTCAGTGAGGGTGTGAAAATATCACTTAATCAAGACAGCTCGCACCTCCTGTATCTTCCTTACCTCAGCTGGACACTTTGACGAGCCTGGGGTTGGATCTGAGCTGTCGGGACGGTGGTCAGACATCTGCTGGATGCCCACGTCTGTTGGTGTTGGTGAAGTAGTAGATGTTGAATGGGCTTCCTTTCCCTGTGTCCAACTAGGCGTGGGAGCGACATCATGTGATGTGGAGGCTACGGGCTCTGGTGAGGATTGTTTTTCTGCTGTTTTTGGGGCAGTTCTAGAAAGGAATGGAGGGTAGTCTTTGGGTTTTCTGTCAGGTATTGGAAAACAGAAAAAAAAAACAAAAAAACATTTAATTATAACTGAAAAATTCCAACATTAACACTGAGTAAATGAATCTCATTTCAACACAGGATGTTTACTATTTTATCTCACCTTTTCCAACTACTTGTTCCACTACTCTGTTTAGTTTGTGCTCTTGAGCTGCTGTGGGGATCTTGACCACCTGTCAGAGTCTCTTTATCAGTGTCTACATCACTGCCACCTCCTTTATGTGGCTCAGGCTCATCAAAGGCTTTTGGCTGCACAGAATCCGCAGGATGCTCCGAGTCCTGTGTGGTGTTTGTTTGGGCGGGGACTGACTCTGCTACAAGGGTGTTTCTTGTTTGCTTCTTCCCTGAATTACTGGACTTGACCTGCGGTTTGGCTGGTTAAAGGAGAGACGGATACGAGATGAGAAGACGTGTCTAATTTGCTGAGAGCGCACGTAATGTGTTTGTCCTCTGCATACCTCTTCTTCCAGTAGCCATTAGTTTCTGCTTTACAGAGGCTACGTTTGTCTCATCATTGTCTGCAGTCTCTGGACTCTTTCCTGGCTGGACTGCAGTAGTTCCTGTTCCAACAATACACAAACTTTAAAATGAACTCTTCATAATATAACATTAAGTGTTCGTTTAAAAATGACATTGAATGAAGTGATTATTTTACCATGTGGATCCACTGGATTCTTGATGGTAGAACACTGGTGGGTGAGGAAAAGAATATGTGTCACAAATGAAGAAATTTTAATCACAATGCGGCCAGAAATAGTTTCTTGCAACTCCACTTACTGTAACTGCAGCTGGGTCTGGCCCGATATCTTTTCCATCGATGGGGCCCTTCACAGGACTCCCCTCTGCAGACATGATCGCAGGGGCACTAGCCAGAGGCCCATCTCCTGCTGCCACTAAACTCTCTCCACAAACGCTGCTGGGGGGGTGAATCAGGTCACAGAATCAGACACAAAGAAACAAAATAAAGTCTGGATGGCTAACTGATAAAGAGCGGACACTAACCTGGCCCGCTGGACTGATGCATCTGTTACAGGAAGATAAGAGAGGTGCTCAGCTGCACTGTTCCCCACTTCCCCTGATGAGGAAACCGGGATCTCAGTCAGAGAGAGGATGAAAAACGGCTCATCAGGATCTGAAGGCACCTGCACTGGCAGCACTGAGAGGCACAGCGAGAAAACAATATGAAAAATATATTGTTAAGTCTGTACCAAATCAAACAATGTGAGTCGAAGATAATCAGTGATTGACTTACTCCCTGAAAAAACTGGATAGCTCTGGATGCCTTCTGTACTTGGCGTTGATGCAATCTAGGAATGAGAATCGGTGGAAAACGTTTGAGGAATCGAAAAACATTTAAGAGCTTCTTGACTAATATTGAACAAAACTGAGTTGGTGTGTTTTTTTGGTATTATACATATTTATTCTCACACTGACACCACCTGCTGCTCCAGATGTGTTCATTTGAATTGTTTTTAAACTATTTGAATCCCAAAACACAAAGAGGATATCAGCCTAAAATAAAGTTTTCTTACAGTTCTGGTGGTTTTGTTATGATTGAATTTGTATCATTACCGTTTTAATTACTACTTCAACCATCTATTTAACATGTTTGGCTATTTCAAGTATTATAGAATGCTTTAAGCTAAAAATTTGAACATTTATGCTTAATTTTTTTTAAAGAAAATGCTGAACTTTTTGAAGAGTTCTCCTTGGACGTCTCTTCACAAACCCACTGACAACTGCAGAGGCCAACTTCTGGCTGCCATGATAAATAGATTTTTGCTCAGTATTATGAAAACTTTCCTGCATATCTAGTCAAGGGTTAGAGATATTACAATCACAAGTACTCAAAAGTTCCCACAGCACTGATTTAAAGTTTATCTTACCTGGGTAGAAGGTACATAATCTAGAGAGGCTCGAGGACCATCTGAAGGGGAGTCCTTTTCACTTTGTTGTTGCAGATAGCAGCCAACAGAAGAGCCTGCATCACTTGGAGTGGCGCTCTGGTTACTAAATTCATCAATAACTCCCTTAACTGATTCCTGCATGTCAGGTCTGAGTTCACACACAGATTTTGGATCAACAGAAGCAGCCACACTCTGTGAGCAACTGCCAGATTCTGTGGAAAAGACGAAGAAGAAGCATTTGTGAAAACCCAAGAGCTGTAGATTATAGCAATCTGCTAGACACTGATTAAGGTGAGAGAACTTTGTTTGAAAAAGTATCAAACCTGCTTCTGCTGGCATTGTGTTCTGTATTTTCCGGGGTTGTGAAGGACGACTGCTGCATGCCAGGTTGGGTTTGGGTTTGATAAGCCGACCTCTACGGATGTGATGAACTTTACTTAAGGGCTTAGAAGTGCCAGTCAACTCTGATTGATCAGTGCTTGAAGTGGGGAGAAACGCACTGTTACAAGAGAAACAGAGCTCCAAACAGAAATCAGTGTTTACATTGTCAGCTGCATTTGTGAGAGCTGATTGTAGACATAGAAGTGATGTCTTACCTTTGAACAGATGAGTCTCTGTCTGAACATATGGGGCTGGCAGCAGGAGCCAATACGGACATTTGTTCTGACTCTGTGGAGGCATCTTCTGAAAGCTGCACATCTGAAACTGCAGTTGGATCATTTGTTTGTTGAGCATTTGTCTCTGTAACTTCGCTAGACATGTCCAGCATGCCATCTTCTTGTGAAGTAGGATTAGCCTCCACTGGATCATTATTTGACAATTTGTCCTTTGTTGATTCCATTTTAGCTGTGGCTTGTTCACTATTTTTATATTCAGGAACTGACTCTGTCAACACAGATTGATTCTCAGCATCGGAAGATGTTGCCAAGGCCATACCATCCGAGGATGTAGCTTTAATATTTGTACTGTCCAGTAATTTGTCAGAATCCACAGGTCCAACTTCTATTGAAGTATGTCCTGCACTTAATGAACACTGTGCTGACGTCAAGTGCTTGTCATCTTTTTCTGTGAGGCTCTGATCCGTTTGTGCATTGTTATTGTCCGAAGGTTGTTTATCTGATGTTACATTTGAGGTGTTATCCGTTTGGCAGTGTTCTGAAAGTTTATTGATATTATCTGACTGAAGTTTTGTCGTTCTAGTGGATGATCCTAAATTGGGCTTGGGTGTCACTTTAGGAAACCGCCGCCTTCTTTGAGGAACATTTTTTTCCGAGGCCTCTGTGTTTGAAACTAATCCACATCCACTATCTGTCTTTTCATCTTCAGTTGAAGATAATTCCTGTGTGCATTTGTGAATAGAGCCTAATTCTGGTGATTGTACTGGAACTGAAGGAGAACCAGTACTTTTAATATGACTAGATTTTTCTGGAGGGGTGCTACTGCAACTTGGCTGCACTTCTACTTGTGCTGTTGTGTTGTCAGTGGAATCAGACGTAGAAACTGGGACGGGAGGTTTTTCCACAATCTGCATGAGTGTGACAGGGTCTTTTCTGGATTGCGGTTTAGATCGCACTGTTCTTGATGTCTGTGGCAGGTTTGGTTTTGGTTTTTGTAATCGACTCCTCCTCAATTGACAAGTCGATGCAGCTTCACCCCGACCTTTACTGACTGGTAGCTCTTCTATGGCAGGTTGGCCACTGTTTTCTTGGACTGGAGTTGAATCTACATCTGACCCTTGTTGAACTTGTGATTCTGTGACTGTTGAGTCAGTCGTCACCACAATATTACAACTACTTTCAGTTGTTCCAACACTTGTCAGATTTTCATTGGTGAACTCAGAAGTTGACTCAGTGCCTCTGGTTTCCTGCTCTTTACTGGGTTCAAACTGGGCTTGCTGGTTCTCTGAGGCAGTCTGATTGGACGCTGTGGCCCCTAAGTCTGCCTGAACAACAAGTCCAACAGATATGTTTTTCTCTTCATGTGTGGACAGTTCCTCTGCAGGTGTATGAGTAGAACCTAAATTCAATAAAGCAGGATCAGTGCTTTCACTTTGTTTTTCAAGAGAGGTGCTGCATGTTAGTTGTGGTTCCACCTCTGTTGTTTTGTTATGGAGGTCAAGGCTTGGAGTTGGACTTGAGTCTTTGTCTGCAGGCTCTTTTGTGGTTTGAAGTTTAGACTTTGCAGTTCTGGATGTTTGTGGTAGGTTTGGTTTTGGTTTGAATTTTTGTAATCGACCCCTTCTCGTCTGGCAGGTTGTTGGGACTACAGTCTCTTCCTTTTGTTTTTCAGATAAATCTTCTGGAGGGGAAACACGTGAAGGTTTGTTGCTGCTCTTTGGAACTGATACTAAATCGGTGTGCGACCCTTTTTCAACCTCTGTGACTGCTGAGTCAGACGTCGCAGGAGTATTAAAACCAGCCTCAGCTGTTCCAACACAAGATTTAAGTTTTTCATCTGTGGACTCAGATGTTGACTTTGTGTCTCTGGTAGACTGATCCCTACTGGGCTCAAACTGGGATTCAGAAAAGCAGTGACTCTGAATTTCTGAGGAATTGTGATCTGACATTGCTGCATCTGATTCTATCTGGTCAACAAACTTCGGAGTGCCAGATGGCTCTTCTGTCAGAATGACTTCAGTACTGGACATGCTATCCTTTAATAATCCTGGAGCACAGTCTGATGTCTTTGGCGTTGTTTCTTCCTCGACTGATAGTGTCTCAGTGGCTTGAGAAACGCTTGGAGCAACCGACTGGCTCTCTTCAGCTGTCCTTACTGTTGATGTCTCTGGTCGGGATTTTGGCTGAGCAATCCTTGAGGTTTGGCCAAGGTTAGGTTTGGGTTTCACTTTAGATAAGCGTCCCCTCTTGGTTTGTGGAGAACTTATATTTGAGATTTCTGACTGAGGGGCAGGATCCATATCACAAACTGTCTTCTGTTCCCCGAACATCTGATCACTGGTTGTAATAACAGGCATGTCTCCACTGCCTTGTAGTTCCACAGTAGAAACAGTTTGTGATGTTTCTTCTTGACTAAAAGCTGCAGACACAGAAGGAGTGATGCTTTCCTCTTGTGCAGGAAGGTTTAATTTAGTCTGTCCTTCAAGGCGGCTGGTTTCATTCACAGCAGCTGATGATGTACCTGCAACTGAACATATTGACACATTATACATTTGCTGTCATTCATTCATTCTTAACAGGTAAAGTGCTACTCTTAAATAAGGAATCTTGTGGTATTTAGGTCGCTAACCTGCTGTGTGATCTTGCAAGACTGTTTGATTTGGTGCTGACTGAGGGATGTGAGCCAGGTTACCGATGGTCAACAGGGTCTGAGCAGCCTCATTGTAGCTCTCATCCTCAGCTACTGAAATAAGAAGACACCCAAAAAATAGTGTACTCTGAAGCTATTCAACGGTTTAATCAAACAACAATTTGCCAAAAGTGACTCAGAAAACTTCTTCAGCATACCTTCTGTGTGTTCTGAAGAAAGGAAGTCTATAACATCCTGCAAGCAAACAGACATTGTGTTACATCAAAGGCTGCTCTTATAAGCTACATTAGTTGACAAAAGAGGAAGTATGTAAAACTCATGTATTACAGTAGCCCCAGTTACGTGTCTGTATCATTTACCTCTTACATCTCAGTAACCTGATTATATCTGAACACAACAGGGTTGCTCTGATTTCATCCAGCCTCGTAAATTACGGAATACCAAGACTGAATTAATCATTGTTCAAATTATCACTTCCTGGTTTATTTTTCATTTGAAATGTGCCAAAACTAAGCTTGAAATAATGCAAAGTCTCAATAAGATTGAGTCATACGTGCACTAGGGTTGCACGATTATGACCAAAATGATAATCAGACTTATTCATTGATTTAGTGGCAACATATTTTCGTTGCAATTTCACATGTAAATAATAAAGCACTGGTTTTACTTCCATGCTGTGGTGTATTTATACTAATGTGCAAATCTTTGCATCAAAATATGACTTTTAATCAAGTTCTTTTTTCTTTTTTTTTTACCTGAATTTAGAGCCTCAGAAACAAAATATAATTAAAATTATACTTAAAACATCTCATTTGGTTTATATCTGCTTACTGATAAACCCTAAAAATTACAAATGTTCCTTAAATGCCTCACATGCAGGCCACAGTGACCAAAAGTTACTTTGAAAAGAGTGAAACATATCGTTCTCGTGTCAGATTTACTCACGTTGAAGTGATGTTATCTACATAAAGCATTTTCTTTGTACTTTTCTATGTGCAGAGCAAGCATTTACATGTTGATCATTTACTGACAAACAAACTGCAAGAAAATAAGATTGCACTTTATCAATGTCGGCCCTGTTTTAAATAAAACTCAGTCAGATCTTTACAATTAGATCTCAGAAAACAGATCACAATAATATGTGTAACTGGGGATAATGATTTACATTGACTTGTACTACATTTTAGGCATAGGTCACTTACAACCAGCAGGTCCAACTGGTGTTCACATGGTTCAGCTGTGCCTGCCTCATGTTGTGCCTGCTCACAAGAGGAATCAGGGCACAGTGCATCTTGGGAAATGCCCAACACATCAGGCATACTGGCCAAGATATCAAGCTGATTGTGGGATGGTGGAGGGGAGGAGGGAGGGGGAGTCAGAGTGGAGGGTTTGAAATATGAAATGTAAAAAAACATGCACAAAGAAAAAACGATGCAAAACACAAACATGCTTACTGTGAAACTCATGTAAAAAGAAAATTAATGAGTGGTGTGTCTTTGTGTAACATATTAGGAAACCGTTTCTCATACCTCCACCATAGATTCATCCACTTCTGAGATCCCAGGTTGAGAGGCGTTCAGGTTGGCAGGCACAAATATGGGAGCGTGGCCGTCTCTACTGGAGCCACATCCAAGCTGATCCTCCTCCACGTCTTCATCCTCATCACTGAAATCTGACTGAGAGGCCCTGAGCATGACGAGTTTGGGCTTTTTAGACTTTGGGGTTGATTCTGGCTTTGATGATCTCCGCCTCTTGGCCGGGCATTTGGGTTTAGGTTTGGCAGAAGAAGCAGCGGACCCCACTGGTGAGGCAGCAGTGGTTTCAGAAGCAGAGGAGTGTGCCTCCTCTTTGGCAGGGTACGTCAAGGGCTTGGTGGGTTTGGGCACTCGGCCGTATCTACAAAACAAAATTACACACAGATGAAGACAAGTAAGACACGAAATGGTTCTTTTGGGAATGAGGAAAAAATATTTCAGTGTCTTCAGGGTTTTTTTTAGTTTTTTTTTTAGTGTCTTAAGACAGGAATTCTTGTACCTGGTAGGCTGTGGAGGTTTAACAGCGACATCTTCTTCTTCAGAGGAAATGTCATCACTGGCAGACTTCTTGCTTTTGGCCTGGCTTGAAGGTGACGCATCTTTGTTTACCTAAAATGTTAGCGTAGCTTTCAGTTAGGCAAAGACTGAATGTGTACAAAGATTTGACAGCTCTGAACTGAAAATGAACCAACCTGCTCTGCGGTGGCTCCATCACTCACGCATTCGTCCCCTTTTTCTGTAGCAGGATCTTTGGCCGTTGTGGAAGGTGGAAGCTTTTTACCCCACTTCCGGCCCAAAGGCAGCAGTGGTTTCGGTGCTCTGCCTCGTGAGAGTTTGGCTGGCTTGATAGTGGTGTCCTTGGCTGAATTTACATTTTGAGACTTTTCAGACCTGAATATTAGGACAAAAGAGGGAATTATAACATTATTGAAAATGCACAAAACACTTTGGTTAAAACAACATTTTCAAAGTTTCTTACATGTCTGGACTTGTGTGGTCTTCAGGAAGTGCCGCCTCAGCGTCTTCAGGTATGCCGGCCTCACCTGAGGATAGAATGTAAACCAACATGAAGCAGCAGTCACCGAGAGTCAAACGCAGGAAGAAACTGGGATAACTTTAAGGAATAAAGGATCAATGGAGAACTTTAAATATGGCATGCCTCGATCCTTTATTTTCTAGAAGTCAAGAAACCAGCTAGGCAAAGCAAAAAAGCAGTGGCCACAGACTGACACACCTTCAGGTCTTATGACAATCAAAGAAAACTTCATAAAATAACTGAACTGCGCTCATTGCTCGTTCACCTGTTTTGTTTTTCTTTTCATTTGGTTCTTCAGCCAAGGCGTCTTTCTTTCTTTTGCATTTTCTCTTCGGCTCAGAAGCAGGGACTCCTCCCTCATTACAGAGGTCCTCGTTCTCTTTCTCTCCTTCCTCCTCTGCCTCCAAGTCCGGAACTTGATTCTCATCTTCTTCTTCATCTCCCTCCTCCACATCACTCAGCTTCCGTGCTGATTTTTTGGCTGTAGAGAGAATTACAACACAAGGACTTTTTAATTTTTGAGATGAACTAAAGGCCTTTCTGCGCCTTCCTGTTCACAAGGGTCCACATGATGTATATTTCTACGTCCACGCAAGTCTGCAAGGGTACACGCAAACCCTTCTGTAGATATCCATGTGCAGCTCAAAATTTATGACAAAGCAGATGGTACACACTGTAAAAGCGCTGACTGTGCATGCGCCATGAAAACAAAATGCATGTTTGTTTTGAGGAGAGGTTGTTTAAAGAGAACTGCTCTTAGAAACATCTTTTAATTCATCAATAAAGCAACAGTAGGCAAAAATCTGGAGACGTCAAAAAGAAAAAAGCCAGAATTCGAAAATATGCAGCACTCCTCCTGCAGCTTTCCCCTCTCCCATGGCTGTTTTGAGACCGACCCAACGAGCGTGTGCTTCAAATGTGCAAAGATAGCCAAGCGAAAAGTCAACATGAATCTGCAGCTTCACCTCTGATTCAAACCAAAGTGAAAGTCCTCCATCCAACCCATAACATCCCATCTCAACCTTGCTGCTGCTTGTACTGTCTCTGCTTGTGGTGAAAATGCCTACGATCAGCTAAAATCTCTCATCAAAGGTAAGATTCTCTAAAGTCTGAAAACAGAGCAAGTAGGCAGTTCAGAACCTAGATTCCTCTCAGACCACTTGAACTGCAATAAGTTGAAATGTCAGTATGGATTTTTTTTACAATGAAGACAAACAATATTGCCTATCCCAGCTTTAAAACAGTTAAATCTAAAGTGGTCGCTGCCAGACTTTGGAAGTGCTTCAATTTGTACAGTCTTTTCAACCACAAAACACAATAAAATGCATTTTCACCATATGGAACCTTAAATGTCTGTATTGGTCAGTACACAATGTACTGGCCTTGAGGGAAATCTGTTTCCTGGACAAACATTAAGTTATAAACAATGAACTCCTCTCTGAGTATTATCAAGGGAATAAAGCATGGAGAGACAGTCACCTTTTGTCTTCCTCTTGCGCTTCTTGGGGGAGTTCTTCTCAGCAAGTGACTTGAGTTTCTTTCTGCTTTTCTGAAATTCTAAAATTTTCTCTAGCAGCTTGGAGAAATATTCTATGTCCAGTCTGCGCCTCTCTCCTACAAAACAGTCGTCAGTGAATGTAACATCAAGAAATTCACAACATTCATTTGGAATATTAATAAAATATTGTATTTTTTTTAACCAGCTGAACATAAGATTCTACTGAAGACTCACTGAAAGCTTTGTCAATCCTCCAGGAATTCTCTCGCTCTTCTTTTTTGAATTTGTTCTGAAAGTTCAAATCAATGCAGTTAAAATAAACATCTTTTGTGTCTTTCATGCAATTGTTTCTTCATTATCATGTTCTGTAAATACATGCGTATCTGTACTTTTCACAGACCTTTATTTCTGATCGAGCTCTGTGTGGAAACAGTTGACAAATCATGGAGAAGTCTGTCCCCACCATGCTAACTGCCAGGAAGAACATATCCGTCTCTGCAAACCAAAGTAAAAACAAAAAAGCATCCAAGCAAGATGTTAGATTTCAAGATTCAAGATTTCAAGTATCTGCATCTATTATCATGATTGGTTTACCTTCACTGGACCATGGTTTCGAATAGGTTCCTTTCCTGAAACTTGAGTAAGTTGTGGTGGAACCGCGCTCAAAGATGGGGTCTCGATTCTCTGCTGGGTTCGGCCCTTTAGCTCGCTGGACTTCCACTGTTAAGCTGAGACACAGGTGAAGGGATATGAGTCACCATTTCCAATGTGACAATAACATGTTTTCATTAAGAGGAAACAAAAATCACATGGCCTCCAAAGCTCCACTGACCTCTCCTCATCAATGATCAGCGAGCCATCTTCTGCTACTTTGACCTGAGGAACCATAAGTGCTTCTTCTTGGTCTTCATCTGCTGCCTCCTCCTCCTCATCGTCCTCCCTTGAGTTTGCCGTGTCGGGGAGCACTTCAGGTTCCTGTGCTCGCTCCGGAGACCTTCAGGGACAGCAGTGCAAACATTAGACCGAAGGAAGAGGGTTGGTATACAAGTAACGTGTACATCTCATTATGTCAAATCAAATTTTCACTGCCAATTGTTTCTTCTTCTTCTTTTTTTTTTTTTTTTTTTTTAATGGTACATGTTTTGCTTTGAAGAAAATACAAGTCATATCATTAAACTGCTTCAATTACTTTGTATGAATCACTTAAATTTCCTGTTTTTTCACTATTCAATGTTGACCTTTTTTCTATATTTTTTGGCTATCTTCATTTTTTCAGGGGAGATTTCCAAACAAAATCAAGTCAACAAAATGTAACTAAAATGTAAAACTGCAAACAAGTTAATGGCTATGATGGTAAAACTACGACATGCTAAACTTACGCTTCTCTTCCTGGTGAAGGTGGGATCACAGTCTCATTATCTGGAGCTGAGTCCTCAATACTAGATCTGAAAAAGAAAAGCAAAGTCTTGTTTATCAATTAAGATCTGTGATAATCAGTACAAAGCATCAACTCTGGAGGGAAGAATTAAACATGACATAAGCTTGCTAAATACTTACGTCATGGGGTTGGATGTTGGAAGATAACGGATAAGGTCCCTCATGGTCATTTTGGCAGGATCTAAAGTGAATTCCTTTGGAAGCGCCTTAGCTTTCTTGAGTTTCTGAAACATCGAATGACACCACTCCTTTCAGTGAATACATCATATTATAGGTTAATCATAAATAAGATATTAAACTTAGAAGACATGGATTTACATGGACAATAATCTGAGCTCACCTTTTCTTTGCGCCTCTCCTGTCTGAGCAGCTCTCTGAGCTTCTGGGCCTTTACAAGCCTCTGTAAGTCCGATGGGCCATTTAGGAGTCTGCTCAGGGAGTAGGCCGACTGTGTCAGCGAAAGCACATTCTTAGATGATACAAGAGTCTTGGCTTTCTCTGATATTTCAATAGCTTCTTTGTCTGGCAGAGAGGGTGGTACTTTATCTGGTGGTCTGGGAGGAACTTCTCTGACCTGAGTGGTGGAAATGTTTCCTAATTGTTTGCTACTGTCTGCTGGCAGATGGGTTTGTTCTAGCGAGTCCTCAGCTGCAGGAACATCCAAAGGTCCTAAAGCACTGGGAGAAATGGTGGTGGCTTTAGACTGTATTTTGAGCTGCTTGGTCTCTTCTGAAGGCCTTCTTCTCCTTGGGGACTGGAATCCCTGAGGGGCTGCTGAAGTTCCAGGTGGGCTAGATGTTGTTGGCTTGTCAAGATTTGAGCCAGAGCCTTCGACACGAGCTTCAGAGACTGCCTTGACAGGTGACTTTGGTGTCCGAGAGAGAGTGGCGGGGCGTCCAGGGGCCACTTTGGGCTTGATGGAAAACCGCTTCCTTCTCTGGACGGCTGCTGAGGAGCTGGTACCTTCCCCATTTGGATCATTGCCATCCCTAAACCACAGTAAAAAAAAAAAAAAAAAAGAAAAGAAAAAAAAAGGTATAAAACATTTAGGTTGACATAACAAAAGCAGCAGCAATGGCTTCGAAAAAAATGGGAAGCAACTTTTTGTTTGTTTTTTTCCACTGACCCTGAAGCTGGAGCTTTTTCTGGCAAGGTCACTTCAGACTTGTTGTCTGTCACAGCTGCAGCGCTGCTGCTCTCACTGGCATCTCTTGGAGTCTCGCTGGTCTCCTGGGTTGCTGAGGGGGCTTCCTGAGGTGCTGCTGCTGTTCTCCCTGCCGTACCGACGTTGGGACGCACACTAAATCTGGACCGGCGAAACATTTTGACCTGAAAACACACAAGAAGTCAAAGCTGCATCAGTATTCCAACAGAAAACCTTTAAGACCTGCTAAATCTGTGAACCTGTGATATTGTGGAAAAACGGCTACATCATGTCCCACATGTTTTACTTTAGACAACTGAAAAACGTGGACGGATTTTACTGCATCTGTAATTTAACCACTTTTCCGTCACAAAGATCTTTGCGGAACAGTATTTGCTGGCTAGAATACAAGACCAAAACACAAAAATCTTCTTCCTGGATGCAGTTTGGATGTTATTTACCTCTGCCTTGGCAGTTTCAGTGTGTTAGCCCCTAAATAGAAAAAGTAAGTGGCTTACTAAATTCTTGTCTTAACACAAAATGTCATACATAGATACTACAGTGTAACTGATGATCACATCCTCACCGACACACAATTGATCTTCTCTGCCTACAATCAAAATGTTGTAATGTCAACTGACTGTCAGCTTAAATTGTGTAAACTGAGATATACTGTTGAGTGATATGATGTTATGTGCTTTCCAGGATCACAATTGAAACAGATTCTATCCGTTTGGCCAGATAACCCATGTAGCCCATTGAGTTTAAAGTTAATAAACATTTAGATTATTTGAAATTTTATTTTATCGCTATCCTTCTGTCCACCCCCATCAGGAACAAATACAGGACTGGGGACGACAGGGCTTTTTCCATCGCCACTCCAACCCTCCTGAACTCACTCCCCATAAGCATCAGAGAATCCTCCTCACTCTCTATTTAAGAAATCCATAAAGACACATCTTTTCAACACTGCCTACAACTCATAATTCTCCTTTTTCTTTATGCTCCTTTCCCATTATGTTTTATTTACTAATTAGTTTTGTTTGCTTGCTTGTTTTGTTGTTACCTTTTAGTAAAGCATCTTTGAGTATCTTGAAAAGCACTATATAAGTATTATGTATTATCATCATTATTAATATTATTTGCAAAAAAAACCCAATCTATCTGATTCTAGCTGATTAAATAAATTAACTAAAAATAAATAAATAAATAAATAAATGCAGTATTTTGATGCAGCCATCTGTTTTTATCTTTAATCACTTTGTGGTCCTGAGCAATGTCCCGCCTATGACGCTGTCTAATTGGTTATATGTCGCATGAACAGGTCGTCATCACTGACGGATAAATGTTGAAAAGTTTCCTCTTAATAAACGTAACGCCACAAAGGGACTTCAGCCAAGTTTTGCACTGGACTTTCTTTTCCTCTAAATTTTGACACAGACTTCATTATTATGTGTAATATTTCATTTTCACATGCAAAATTTACTTTAGCTTATTTGTATGTTCAGCAGTGTTTCATGCTTGTGTTTTATTGGGGCAGTGGTGAAGGCTTTGAACTACTGATCAGCAGGTCGGGGTTTCAATCCCAGCACCACCGAGGAGCCACTACTGGGCCCTTGAGCAAGGCCCATGAACCCGTTTGCTCCACAGAC